TTGGTCTGTAAAAGTCAGGGCAGTGTGAAAGTGTCAGACAACAGCAGAAAATAAAGGGTTTTTTTATTTAACACTAGGACACACTCCATATCCCAAAGAAAATATTCAGAAGTGATGAAGTCTTTGTTCCTTTTATTTTTCCTTTTTGAAAAAGACATTATCTACTGTTCTCTCCCTGAGTGATTTCACTGACTACAAGGGAGTCATTTCCCTCAGCACTGTCATTGTTTAATGAGAACAGCCTAACTCATTTTTAAGATGTGTGAATCCTATATGAAGTTATTTAGATGATACTTTTTGCCGTGTTTATATTTTAAAAAATAAATTAAAAAATATTCTGCTTTTGACATTCTGACATCTATTTTTCCAAAGGAGGACCCAAAAATCAGGGCTATCATCTATACATAAAGAATCAGCTGATAACTCCCATTGATTAGAAGTTTTCGGATGCTAAGAAAACCAAGCTATTGGTTTAGGTGCTACAACTCAGATTTGGGAGCACATAAATTAGATTTCATCTCTAAAAACCTTTACATTTTGTAACTTATTAATTAATTTTCAGAGAGAGATGGTACATCTCTCAGACCCCAGAATCTCAGATAAACCTAAATCTAATTTTTAGAGCTGCCAAAATAAAGCCAAAGAGTGCAGAATTAAAGCTTCAAATTGTAACTATTCCAGTCCCTACAAACTAGGGGAAAGCCTGTACTCCAGAACAATTTTTAGGAAGCTGTGCCATTTTCTCCAAGGACTCACATCAAAAATGTTAGAGGAGACATAAATAAATAGCCAAATGGCCTCCTAATTTCCATTTAGAAGTCATAGCATCAGCTCAAGCATACGCTACCAAATATGAGTTGTTTTTCAGCCTCACTGGCATGACAGGAAAATAAACTCTGCTCTATAAACAGATTATATGCTGCTTTATAAAGCTCTAAAATATTTTTTTACTTCTGTGACAGGTTTGATTTATAAGAGTTTATTGCTCCTGGTTTTGCCCTCCTAGTAAAGAAATAAAAGTTTAGGATAAAAAGAGCTGGGAAGAATTTGTTCTTATGAATGAGAGACTTTGCAATAGCAGTGAGAGACCTGAATTTGGATGCTCTACGTCCTCCGGAAGGTGCCGGTCGAAGGAAGGTGCCTGAGCTTTGGTGACCCAGCCAAGGGCTTGCTTTGAAACACTCTCCCAGTTGTTTTTCATAGCAGGGCATGAACCATGATGAAATCAACTAAATTTGCGTTCCCTTGCTTTTGTTTAAAAAAAAAAAAATAAAAATTACTGCCATCCCTTAAAAGCTTGTTTTCTTTGTTGATTAGGCAGCAGTCAATTTTCCCTTTTCAAACAACCACCGAGCAACAGCCTCCCGACCCCCTCGGATGTTCGGGCTGCCGGCAAATACTAAAACCTCCGTGACAAACTGCAAAAAAGCTCGACCTTTCCCCCTGTCCGGTGACCCCCTGTTCGATTTGTACTTTAGTTAACCAATACCTGATTAGATAATGCTCAGCTCCAGGCCCGCAAAATGAGATAAAATTCAAATTTATGGCTTTTCATTTAAACCGATCTACAGCACTCTAATCATGACCCAAGCACAACTATATCACAACAAATTCTCTTTGTCCCAGAGCATGTTTTATGGCTGAACTGTATAAATGGACACAATAGACATTGTTTTCTCGGGCTTGCTCTGGCAAAACTGTGCATCGATGCCACAGGGAGACTTGCTACAGGAGAACATAGGAACAGGCTCCATGAAATTCCTCAGCCTTCTGCAGCAAATTTTTCTTTATCATCAACTGCCTGGGCTGCAAAATTTAACAGCACCAGTCCTATGGCTTCCACTTCTCTCTCAAGCACTACAGGCTAATCCCAGTATCAACTCAGATGGATATCAGTCAGAGAAACTGGAAGTCAAGTATTCCACAGCTGGAAATACCCAAAACTATGACAACCTTTGCAAGAGAATAAAAATGTCCTTTCCAAAAATGCAGTTACGTCCAAATATGTGTGTGGCTGTAAACTCTTCCCTCCAATGTGCAAGTAGGATTTTAGTTTAAAATTTTCTAGTGTAAGACTCTACGCTGCCCAGCAATCCTAAACAACTGCAAAAAAAAAGAGCAAATACTTCATAGTAAAATCAATAATATAGGCAGCATCAGAAAAAGCCTGAGGAAGATGCTCAGCTTTTCTTCCAAAGCTATATTACTATGTTTACGTTAATATTTTCTCAAAAAGAGAGCCTTCCTTCACCATCTCTGAAAGCCAAACAGCATTGTACATTCAGCTTTTCACCTTAAACTCAGATAAAATGGAAAGATTGATTTTTCCAATAACTTAATCATTCTCTCTGCAGCCACAGGGGAGTCTACTCAGGAGAATTAAATAAGTACACAAGCATTAGCAATGCTGCAACCCCACTATGTATTTCTTGGAGCACCTCACATACAAGATGAAGAAAGGAGTAAGCCAGAACATAGCAAAACACCTTCTTTGGCCTGTTGGACCAGTGTGAGCAGGTTGGGACACCTCAATTTTTGAAGCCTCCAGACACAGCTGACCTCTACAGCACCATGAACTATTCTAGGAATTATATGTAATCAAACATAAGAGAATACTGTGACAGAATCTACATCAGTGCAATTCATTCATCAAGTAAGTATCATTGTGGAAAGAAAGATTTTAAAACCTCTTGTACCACAAAGTCACTTAAACCCACAGTCAGTGCCATACAGACATTTTGGTTGCATCCTTCCTCCACTGAAGATCAACAATGAAATTTCACCTTGATATCAGCAACAGCAGAATGAATTCTCGTTTGTCAGCTGACTTACTGGCACCTGGCTGGACAAATGCCCTGTTTTCCAAGAGTGCCCTTTTAAGCAGAAAACAAGACCCCCAGAAAAGCTTAAATTTCCAAGACCATACTTAAACCTCAATAAATGACACCTTTCCCCTCACCATCCCACACTGCCTTTAGTACTGCCTCACTCCACACACCAGTAACAGCTTCTTTCCCCCTTTTATACTCCAAGGCACAAGCCCAAGAAAGTAGTGGATTCCAGAGGAGTGTGATAATGAGCATCTGGGCAGGAATGGGCATCAGGAAAGTCTTCTCCAGAACTACCAGCTCCCTCTCATCCACCCTTTAGCCCTAACCACCATGTGCCATTTTACTCACTGTGTAAGCTCTGGTAACCAACATTTCTTTGTTTCCCTTCAGCTACAATAAAGATATTTAAACCCACTTGTTGGAAAAATATTCTGTTTCAAGCTCCCCTGGGCACCACAGAATGCTGAGTGAGTGACAAAATTGCAGAGGGACCTGACTGTTGATTTTGTGTGATTTTGCTCCAAAAGCTTTTCAATAGCTTCCCCCAGCTGTCCCAAATATATAACACTATTCAAATGGCACAAGTTCTGCAGCTTGAAAGGGATTCAGTCTGCCAGCTGGGCTTCCAGCACTATCAAGATATTAATTTCTTGTCTGGATAACTTAGGCTCCAATATCCTAAATATTTCAAGCAGGAAAATGAGTAGTATCGTAGCATATTATCCACATCTGAGTATGTGAAAATCAAGATGGGTTTCCCTCAGTTTTAGTGGGGTTATCCTGCACTACAACACTTGAGGGTCCAGTCCAAAATACCCTAATTTTGGAATATGTTAAACCTGCAGGTACAGCCATATCTCAACAGTTTTGCTTCAGCTTCTATTATCAATATCTGAACTTAATTGTGGTGTGGTTAAAGGTCAGATTTTATGGTTTCCTGGTGCCTTTTTCAAATAATAAAGATTTCTCACTAGCAATTATATTGCATCAGAGTCTGTTAACTCGATAGAGTGCTGCCAAGTCTATAATTTCTCTTGACACTATTCTGTCATATTGTCACAGGTCTCACAAGAGTTTAAACAACTGGATGGAAAGTTGGGAATGAACTCACTGAGTGTTTATAGACAGTTAAGAGCAAATCAAACCTCCATTTCCGCCATATCTGCAAGGCTCTGCTCCACCGCAGAACTCCATTTTTCCTGGGAAAATGAACTCCCATCTCTCCAGAGGTCAGCCGTGCCCCTGGAGAGCCATGCAAACTCTGCACTGCTCCCCTTATCAGAAACCAAAGGAAACGTACAGATGGAAAACTGAGATTAAGCTCTGTTCCTACAGCACATTGTTAAAACCATGAATAAAACCACGCAAGAACATTTGTTACCTCATAACACAACAGCAACATACACCACATGATGTTTAAGTCCCTGACCTGACCATGGACCAGCAGCTCAGCCAGATCCACAGTGATATCGCAGCGAGGAAAACATGCTGTCCCCAAAGGCAGGGAAAGCAGAAGCCAACCCCATTACTTGCCAAAGGAGTCCCTGAGCTCCCCCAGAAAAAACAACATTTCCCAGAGTGTCTGCAGAAGTAACATGAATCACATCATCCTCCAGTGTGCTGGGTCTAACACCAGCATCCAAACACACTTCAAGTGAATGGCAAAATTCCCATTAAGTTAAATGGAAGCAGGATCGACCCCCCAGCTTTTGAGGTCCCCAAGCAGCACAAGGTCCTTCAATTTAGCCACACAACACTGCATTTTAGGGTTATTCTAATCATCATTGACAGAAAGTGAAAATGATGCCCTGAAAGCAGCACCCAGTTTCTTTTCAAACCTAAAGTGCAATGACTTTTGCAAATCCCTCACCCACAAACATACTGCAGGACTATTCGAGAATAGACTAAAAACGGTACAGAAATGTTCCAACAACGCATCACTTCCCAACATCCAACCAGACAGATTTCATGCATGAAGAGCAATATTAATTCCTTTTTTCCTCTTTCAGTTGACACTTGTCTCCATGCAGAAAGCCCCAAAAGGCCACAAAGCAGTTGGTACACACAAATATGCTGTGGCTGCTGCAGGATCAGACACAAATTCTGCAAATAATAATGTTTATAGACACACAAGAACTCAACAGAACAAAAGAGAGTTCAGCATCTTACCTCCCAACCGTAACTGGGATCTTTGAGGTGTGGCCGCTGCTCTCCTACAAAAGGGCCAAATTTTTCCCCTGCTTCAATCTTCCTTTTGGTCCATATCCCTAATCCTGCTCCAGGAATGTTGGATTCTCGGAGCTCAAACTCTGAAGGAATGGGAATGTCATCGGGAATGTATATTGGAGCCTTGTAAGGAGAGCTCTCCTTTGGCGTGAAAGCTTCGCTGGAGGTTGCTGGAGAAGACGGCTCTTGGATGCTGATGGATGTTGGACACTGAATATTTGCAGGCTCTCCATCAGCTTCTGGCGCTTCCTCCAAGGGAAGTTCAGGAAAGCTCTCATACAAACATTCATCACCTGGAAAAGAAAGCCAAACAGTAGGATTTGAAATATCCTGACAGATTTTGCATACGAAACCATTTCAGCCCGCGCACACAAAACGGAGAGGACGGTTTGGTAGGCGGGCGGCACCTTCATCAATCATGAATCCTGCAGCAGAGCCTCACCCTGGAAGGACATGAGCCTTTTCTCTAGTGTAGGCCTGGGGGTACACAGGGTTTCTCAATATTCCTGACATCAAAAGTGGTTTGCATCACTGAGCCCAAGCGAGGGAATTACATACAGATGTATAGGCAGGCACACCCATTGTCCAGCCCGGTCCGGATACGGCGCTTCGCGTCGCACATGCTTTGAAATCACAATTGAAAGCCAGCATTGCATGTTACAACTGAAATCTAAGAGAAGTGAAAAGCAGGAAAGCTTTACTGGTCTTTCAGAGAGACAGATTGAACCTAAAGTAGCCAAAATTAAGTTTGATGGCCTCCAATTAGTCTTTGGAGGAAAGGATCCAGCCTACCACACAACTCCTGGCAAGAGCTTCAGCTGATGTAAATCAGTGTCTTACCACTGACCTCCAAGAAATGCAATGGTCTAAAATAAGATCAGGATCCAAGCAGCACCTTATAGAGAACATGAACCTTCTCCTCTTACAGTTGAAAAAAAACCTGGAGTAGATCCAAAACACAATAAAAAAACCTTCATCTCTGGGGCTTAGCCAGCAAACAAAAATTAAAAAAAGAAAAACTCACTGTTTTTGACAGCACAAAATGTAAGACTGATTGTAAATTCCTTTTAGTAAAAAAACTGAGTTACTTCAGCAAAGGCTTTAGCTGTACCAGCAACACAGTGCTCAGCCCAATAACACATGCAAAAGGAGCAAAAAGACCAACTAACCAAGAAAACTTCTTAATTATTTACATTCATTTAACTTTATTAATGTTATTGGCTTTTTATACACACAAGAACTCATTCCACTTAATTCAAACCTAAATAGGAGGTGAGAATACTTTTCTCCAAGGACTGAAACTGAGAGATCGGGTATTTAAGACCTGAGCATGAGGAGATTTGCATAATATAGTTGGCCCAGAAATTAAAGCGTTACGCTGGGCTTGGCACTCAGAACGACTATGTTTCAGTGAAGAAACAGGAAACTTTTAAAATGTTCTTTCAATTTCTTGCTCATTTAAGAAACTATCCATGGTAGATTAGCACCGTATGCCTTTTCCACTGGAAACTGGTCATAGCCCATTGTCTCTCACATCTTTGTTACATATTATCTCACGGTTTTATATCTGTACTTTCATGCTTCTGGTACTGCCTAAGACAAACACTGGGACATAACAAATCATTGGAATAGATTGCTCCCATCACAGGACTGGCAAACTGGATTCTTCATCTGTGAGCAATTTATTCACAGCCATGAACTGTTTTTCTTTCTTTTATGTGGCACTGGCTATGACCTCATACATGTCACAAGAAAGTTCAGCTACCCATTCCCTCGGCCTCTGGTTTGGCAGACTCTGCCTGCACTTTAAGAATTGAACCCAATATTGATTAGTTTGTCACTTTTCTAATACCTGGCACTCTGAGAACTAGAAAATCATGACTGACTCCACTATTTAGCTGAGAAGGACACACAGAGGGATTTTCCATTGCTTATGGTGCAGAAATCTTGCCATATCCTGCCATCCTATCGTAGTGCAGTGGTGCAGAGTTTGGCAAAGATGCTCAAGGGCTCATCAAAGAACCAGTGCAGAGAGCTTACTCTGTGCCTACCACTTATGAGCCCATTGCCACGCTTTCCTGCCCACAGCAACACTCATCCTGGACTTCAAGGAAGAGGAAAAATGACATGGAAAGGATAGAGACACAGCTCCACCTGGATGCCACCACTCACTTCGCTCTGCTCTGAGACAACCACACTAGGAGCCATCTCTTACATCATGGCACTGCTGCTGCCCCCAAACACAGCTCTGCTCCACCGTGGTGGGATGGATGACAGAGGTTCATCCACACCTCCTGAGCACCCCCAAAACTCCCATGTGGTCCCTGACTTCACATGCTGGCAGCAATGTTGTGTCCAGCCAGGGCAGGCTCGCTCCTATTCAGATGTCTTCCCCCAGCTGTTTAGATTGCAGTCCTGCCTAAAAGACTTCAGCTGTTTTTGAAACAGGGATAAAAAAACTCCAATCCATGTATACACATGGGGTGCAGGAAGAGAAATCGCTCAAGGAAAGTGATCTGGATGATGATAAGCACATGGCTCACTGGAAGGGGGGTCTGGGGGATAAAATCTTCAGCCATCTAAATTCCACTGATTTTCCATGACAGCTGGGTGCCTGACACTCAAACTCCTTAAAAAGCTTATCTCACACAGTCACTGTGATTTTCCCTGTCCCACCGAGCAGTGTCCCATAAAACCAAGGTTCTCCTTGTGTCCCACAGTCAACTCTCCTCCACCAAATAACAGAGAAAACCTCAGCCAAACAAATTAAGTCACAGCAAGCAATGACCTGCTCTGTGCCTTTCCCAAAGGCACCTTCCTTAGCCCCACTTGCCAGCAGCGCCTGCCCACGAGCCAGCACAAGCCAAGCCTTAAACATTTAGCAAGCACAGCTTTACAGATGTTTCTTCTCCCCCGGGGACAGTCCAGTTTAATTTCTCTTTCTCAGACTCAAAGGCCTCGGTTATACTTATCTCAGTCATTCTGGCTACGCTCGCTTTTAGCCATATAGGGTCAAACCTGCAGCTGATAAATTGGCCTCTGGAAGCCTGGCAGGGAGACAAGTCCGTTTGCTGGGTCTATTGTGCCTCCTTTGATTTCCAGCAGCCACACCCGATGTCGTCGTTAAACACTGGCTTTCAGCTTGAAAGCTCTGGAAAATATAATAGGCCTGTATGCCCCAAAGCTCTAACAGTGTGGGTAGAACAGATTACTGAAATAGACTTTGTCTGAAATAGCAATGTATTCTAGAAAAAAAAAATTTTAAACCTCAAAATAAACACAGAGTTGAATTATGACTGAGCAAGAGATGGGAAGACCACTAAGACATATTTGTGAAATTAATGATATAAGGAGCTACATTAAAATCAATGTACATGAACCAAGGCTCTGGGCCTAATTTTCAAAGGGTGTGTGACTTTTCCACTTAAAATTTACACCCACATGGATCAGAGGGACTTCCAGCAAAATCATAGGATATTGACTGATAGAAAACCTTTGTAAAGTTAGGATTAAACCCAGGGACTTTGCTGATAAGCATCATTTTCACAGTGAACTGCAAATCATTCACATAGACAGCTCTGCAGTTTTGAAATTCAAGATGGCTTCTTTAAATTCCAAAAATTATCCCCACTAGAAACAGGATGAAATAAGAAATGAGGCCCCTGATAAGGGAAGAGATGAGATTAGGTAGTGTGGAAGCTTAGATGTTAGTCTCCATAAAGTTCTTCACTGCTACTTTACAATAAAAACATGAGCAAGCTTCAAAGGAAACCCAGGAGGAAAGGTTAATTGCTACTAAAAGACCAGGGTGGACACCTGGGTTTGCACTTTTGGCAAAACCTTGCATGCCAGCAGGAAAGAGTCCACATGGCCATGTGCTGGGGAGGTGCCTGATGAGGATGGAAGAGCAAAGTGCCAAAGCCACCTCTGTAACTGTGGGGTCTGGGGTCACTGAGTCTGAGAGGCCTCCTGTGCATGGCTGGGAAGAGGAGAGGACTTCCTTCCACCAGGATGTTTCTTAGCAGTTTCAGCATGCTATTCCTCTCCAAGAGCAATTAGGTGAGAGGCACTAATGACAGAGAGGCAGAGGTTGCTGAACACAACCCAAACCACTTTCCCCTGGCTGTGGCTGCGAGTGAGGCAAAGACGTGCTGCTGTCAGAGCACACTGGGCCACATGCTCAGTGAGACTGTGACTTCGTGCAGCTGAAATGCCACATGATGGCATCTCACGTTGAGCAGACATGCTAGACTGTTACATTTATCAGTGTTTCAGGGCAGTCTTAAACTCAGACTTCACACAAAGTCCTCCAAGGATCAAGTCTACACCCAGATCTGCAGAGTCAAACCACCCATAACAAACAGAAACACATCCATACAGACCACCCACTCTTTCTTCAAGCAAATTGTGCCTGAGGATATACATTCCCAAAGTGACTATTGACTGATAAACACTCTAGCACTTAAGGAGGGGCAAACACTAATCTCTTCTCTGTGGTGACCAGTTACAGGACCTGGGGAATGGCCTGAAGCTGTGTCAGAGGAGGTTTAGGTTGGATATTAGTAAAGGATTCTTCACTCAAAGGATGTTTGGACACTGAAATAGGCTACCCAGAGAAGTGGTCACAGCACCAAGGCTGACAGAGTTCAAGGAGCATTTGGATGACACTCTCAGGCACATGGTGTGACTCCTGGGGATCATCCTGTGCATGGCCAGGAGTTGGACTTGATGATCCTTGTGGGTGCCTCCAACTTGGGATATTCAGTGATTCTGTGAAATCCAGTTCTCTGCACTTGGATTCATCCACGTGGCCACCAGTGACTTAATCATAAACTGGATGGCTGATTACTCCAGATGAAAGAGGTAGGCTGAAAGCAAAGGCATCTAGAGAGCCTACTTCAGAATGCCATCACCTTCTGAGCAGGATAAAGTAAGAGCTGAGATAAATGTGGAAGTGGCTCTTTGCAATGAGAAGAGACACACAGTTTCATGCCTGCAACTTCTCAAAGGTGAGAAAGATGACCCCTAGTCCCAAAGATTAGACACCAGGAGAACTAACTATTTGATGGGAGAATTCCATCACACGTCAGGAGCTTTGAGCTCCACGAGCTTTATTGATCATCCCTGATACAAGCCGTCGGGGAGGATGCATTAATGAGGGCTTTAGGGAGCATAGTAGGATCAGGTGAATTAATCCCTTTCTCCTGTCTAAGGTAAGGGTGTACCTGAATGTGTCACAAAGTCCTGAATCAGATCCTTGAAAGAGACCAGCGAGAATTTACATTTGTTTGACCTAGCATTACTATTCAGTGCAGAGGAAATCAGCCTGGAGTATTTGCATGGATATCTGGAAGGAGACAGGCATTTCCTGTTGCATACAAATGGACACCTTTATCTGAATTTCTGTTTGAACAAGTATTAAAGGAAAAAAAACCTGTTACAGGCAGAGACTGATTGATTACAAAATATATCCACATCAGTCTAGAACACGGGAGGTCAAGAAAAGCAGAAAATTAAGAGAAGAAAACCCATTAGCTCCAAAAGGAACACACAGCCAGTGGTGAAGGAAATGGGAGCCACCTGACAGTCCACACCAGGTGGTCATGACTCAGAGGGGGCCAG